GCAGCCATGGGAGGGGCCGAACAAGAGGTTGCTGGACTTTGGCCCTGGGGTGCGGCAGCACTGAACATGTGGCCTGCAGGCTCTCCGCCTGCCCCACTGCCCTCGTCAGCCTTGTGCCCTCTGTGCTTCTGGCCACTGACTGTGCTGGCTGGGGCTGATGGGAAGTGTCCTCCCACCCATTTGGAGGGCACTAGGTTGTGGAAGCCTGGCCTGTCTGAAATTGCTGGGTGAGGTGGTTTGGCGATGCGGCCTGCAGGTTCAGCCATCTTAGCAGTGATGTCTGTCTGTCTCGTTCCCACCTGATTGTAGAGAGACAGGCGGTGCCTTGAACAACCGCCTGGCTGGGGCTAATGCAGCCGAAACTTCATCCTGCGGCTGGAAGAGCAAAGGGTGCTTACTACTTGGATGTATGAGTAGTACTGATTGTGACTGGCTCATCAGAGACGTGTGCCTGCAGAGGTGGACCTTGTCACAGTCATTCCTGCCCTGCTTTCTTCCAGGTCAGACTGCTGCAGGGCGTTCTCTGTGGGATTGCCCTGACCCGTGTCAGGATGCAAGGCGCCAGCGGGAGCCCGTTGTGTGGATGGCCCTGCACGAGCTGCTTGTTTGCAGGCCAAGTTTGAGCTGTTGGTGCTAATCTTCAGCACCCTGGATACCTTGGGATGTTAGGGGTCACTTCCCTACATCTTTCTTTCTCCATGTTCTGGCTGGTGCAGAGGGTAGTGCTTAGATGCCCCATCTCTGGGGGCCAAGATCGGCAGCTGCAAGGTCGCCCTGCGGGAGAGATGCACCCGAACACGGAAATCTGGATTTCTTTTCCCACTTCTGATCTCCTGATTGGAAGTGGGCTGAGATAAGTTTTTTCCCCTAAGGGCCTCTGTTTGTAAGGTAGACCACTATTTGCATTCTTTTTTCAAACCAGCAATTACATTTTGGAAAATGGCACTGGGAAGGCATGTGACTTTAATACAACTTGTGTTTGTAAAATCTTGCCAGACCGTGTGTTTTTGCATGCTGTTTCATACCAAAGCCGTGCCTGAGAAGACACATGGCTTGGTGCTGTTTGCATAAGCAACACTGGGAGAGTTAAAGGCAGCGCTGGCTTGGGAACTTTTTATTGGTGGTTTGGAAAAGCATGGAACTCGCTCTGCCTCTGTGCTCTTCCTGTACTCCCAAGTCACTTTGGATCACACGGTTAACCATTCGATTGCAGCAGATGCTTGCACGGGTGCTGCCCATGCTCCAAGAGCCTGTTCGTAGCCCAACAGACCAGCACTGCTCCTCTCCCAGAAATGTTTAATCCATGCTGCTTTTCATGTATAAATTGGAGTGAGTGCTGGTGAGCCTCTCGCTGCCTGAAAGCCACAGGCAGGCTTGCAGTAAGCTGGGAAATTCCCTTCGGCTTACAGGTGCCCCAGGAAAGCACTTGTGTGCCCCGAGACAGAAGCTGTGCGGCCCACGGCTTTCCTCAGGTCTTCCTTTCTGTCCCTAGAAAGAGACAGCCAGGAGCCCAGACGGGCCCCAGACCAGTGGAAGAACGCCTGCTTTGCGTGCTGCCAGTGCCAGGCCCAGCCCGCCGTCTTCTCCAGGGCGTGTTGTGGGTGCCAGGAGGAAACTGAGTGTAAAAGCCACACACTGAGTCGCAGACGACACTAAACGAGTTGGCCCATCATGCGACTCGGGATCAGGCCCTTCGACACAGGCCGCCCGACCCACACGAGGAACGCCTGAAAGAGGCCCTTGTCAGGCATGTGCTTTAGCACCATGGCGAAGCTCCCCACACTTTGTCGGCCACGCTGATTGCACAACCCGGACATACGGCCTTGCCGATCCACATTCACCCAGCCATCTCGGCATATTGAAATCACACGGCGCGGTTTAATTTCTGAATAGGCCTCTGTGGGAAGCAGGGAGGGGTTTGTGTGCCTTCGAAGGCAAGTGATGCCCTTCAGCATCCTCAAGGACCCAATTGAACTCAAGGGTTGCAGTGAACCTTCTGTTCCTCCGAATACTTGGTACCCTTTGAGCTGAGCTCTTTGTGCAAGTCTCAGGGAGGAATGGCAGCCTCCAAGGTTGGCCTGGACAGTCCTTGCGTCTTCTGTTCAGCGAGTCTTGCAGTTCTGGAACAATAAGAGGATCAGGGACTAATCCCTAAACTTATTCCATGTGTTTCACCCTCTGTGAAAACTACTGGCCCCCACCCTTATTTGAACTTGATTTGGTATTACAGAGTCTGTAAGGCAGTTCTGGACACCCAGGTCCCTAGGCCGGGGGTGCCCAACTTGCTTGGGCCGAGGGGCACGTTTGGGATCTGGAAAGCATCTTGACACACTCGCCAGGTGGTGCTGTGGAGCGGGGCTTGCCCTTCCCTTCCATAAAATGGGACAGCCAGGGGATGATGGGTGTCGTCGGCCAACCCATCCGGAGGGCACCAGCTTTGGGAAGAGTCTGCTCTGGAAGGCAAGGGAGGTCTGGCTGGTTAGGGGCCACTCAGCAAAGGGGAAGGCAGAGGGAGCCCAGCCCAGCCCAGCCCAGCCCAGCCCAGCCCAGCCCAGCCCAGCCCCGTGTCTGCAGTGCCCCCGCCCCGGTGCAGTTCAGGGCCCCAGCGCCAGGCCTGGCGGAGCAGCTCACTGCGGCCTTCCGGCCAGAAGCCTTGCGCAAGGAGCCAGGCAATGGCCTGGCGAGGTGCACAGGGCGCTGGTGTCCACATCGGTGTTGGCTTGCAGTCAGGGGTCTGGAGGAAACTTGCTTCAGTTTGCTTTTGATGAGCATTTTGCCAGTTCACATCTTCCGGGCTGAACATGGGCCTGGACACACTCCACGGTCCAGAGCTTCTGGTGCCTTTTGCAGGCTAAAACAATGTATTTGGCAGTGTGCCTGCATCTCCCAATGCTGACTGGGCCCACATCAGAAATGTGCACCAATAAGCCTTGATCGCGTGTGCTTCAAATTGAGTACATTTAAAAATGTGCATACTTGATGCATGTATTTGGAAAAATGGGCAAAGGTCTCAGGCAGAAAGGCTACACAAAGCTCACTGTCTGATTCGGATTCAAGTTGGAGCGAGCCTTGAGAGCTCGTGATGGAATTTGGAGAACGTGGGCATGCCTGAGTTTTTATTTATTTATTTGATTTATATCCTGCCTTTTTCCTACAAAGGGCTCAAAGCAGCTTACATCATTCTCCTCCTCCATCTTATCCCCACAACAACAACCCTGTGAGGTAGGTTGGGCTGAGAGTCTGTGACTGCCCCAAAGCCACCCAGTGGGGTCCATGCCCGAGCGGGGACTCGAACCCGGATCGCCTGAGTCCCAGGCCCGGGCTCTTCACCACGACGCCACACTGGCTCTCACTGGAGTTGCTGATTGCCCATTTTCATTGCAGCCATGAGCCTGCAGACCTTCCTGTTGCCCCGGGTTTTGTGGGTTTGGACCACGTGCTCTATGGGGTGTTCTAGACAGGCCTTGGGCCAGCGAATGAGGGGCTGCCCACAAGGCAGAGCCCCCCAGTGACCCCTCATGCTTGGCCTGCTTCAGCCGATGTGCCTTCAAGAGGCCTTCAGCTCCTCCCGCCCCTCGTGCGAGCCGGCCGAAGTGGGGCTTGCACGGAGAGGGATTCCTCGTGCGAGGCCACTGATGTGCTTTGGTGGTGGGTCGCGTGGAAGATCGCCCAGAGCTCAAGGGAGCAGTGGCCGGGCCTCGGAGAGAGGTGCCTTGTGCAATGGTTTTCGACCACTGTTTCACCTTTTTAAGACCGGGCTGTGTACGTGTTGACAATGTTCCACGTGGCACCAGTCACCTGCTTTGTTGGACGTTGCTCTAAAGCAAGCAGAGGGAGGCACCCTGACCCCGAGAAAATGAGAATTTCAGAATCTGTGGGGACAGTGCCTTTTATAGACCGACTCAAAGGTCACAATGGATCACGTAATCGTTGCGTTCTCCATGCTTTTCCATTAGGCAAGATGGTAACCAGAGTGAAAGGTGAGGCAGGAGAAGGGGAAAAGGAGCTGCGGGGGAAGAACCCCAGGCCGAGGTCTGAAGCCAGCCCCCCCCCCCGCCCCCGAACGCCATGCGTCTCTCTCCCGACAAGCCCTTGCCGGCCGGTTTCTCTGCTTTGCGCAGGCTTAGCGACTGGCCGTGAGAACGGAGGCTCCCGTATGCGCGCTTGTTTGGCTCTTCCCACTTCACCTGCCCCCGCAGCCCCTTCCCCCATCTGGAGGAAGGCTGCAGGTGTTGACGTGCCGTCCCGCCAGGTGCTGTGATGCTCTTGGGTGGGCCCGCAGGTCTCCTGGGAAGAAAACGCAGGCAAGCAGTGGGCGACCCCTATTTTTTAACATTTGCCATCTGGCGGTTCCTCCCGGAAGTAGGCGTGGCCTCATCCAGACCTTCACCCTGTGCTGCCCAGTCCAGCCGGGGGCCTGTTCCCGCAAGCTGAGCTGGCCCACTGCTGCTGTCTTGACCCGCCGGCGTTTGGGCCAGCCCAGCTGGGGCCGCCTTGAGCCCCTGTCATCGTGCAGCAGAGTTGCCGCCCGCCTCTGGACTTTTGGCACGACGGGGCTGTGCCTGGCCGATTTTGAGCCCCGCCGGGGGCGCTGAGCCCGCCGTGGCTCACTCCTCTGCTGCCTGCCTGCCGGGCGGGACTGGGGGCTCCCGGCTTCCAGATTCCTTTCAGGGAAGCTCTCGGGGGCTCTTGCGTCGGTGGGCACGGCCAAAGGCGAGGAGGGTGGGCCAAAATCCAGAAAACCCTGTTTGAACGTCAAGCCCTCACTGCCAGCTCACTAAGGCTCAGGAGTGGAGGTTTAAATGCTTAGAGGTGGGGGACGCACAGCACTCTGGAAACCGCCTACGACTGGGGGGGTGACAGAGTGGGTGGGGCCAGCAGAAGGGGTGGGGCCTGATGCCCCCTTGGGCACTGCAGCTTTTGAACTGTACTGACATGGGGCTGGCGGGAAACGGAATCTGACCCACAGCACCAAGACGTGTCCTTCCGCTGTTTTGCAGATGGGGACGAGGGTTTGGCCTCCTGGGCTCCATTTTTGGGAAGGACAGTGCAATAAATCAACCAAACAGCGTCTTTTGTCTCATCTTCTATGTACTACAAATGTTACTTGGTAAGTGTCAAGCCTTTTTCCATTTGCTTTTCTCTTCTTTTTAAAGTTGCAGTATTTTGTTTACTCCTTGGTTCAAGCCAAAGGAGGCTTTTAACACAGCTTACAAAGATTAATAATACATTCATTCCTGCCATTAGGTGTACAATCTAGAAGACACGGTGCAAAAGGGAAATGGTTTAGGAGGGTAGAAGAAAGATGCAAAACATGGGCACCAGTTCTTAGCTTCAAAGTCCTTATAGACATCTTTTCTGGCAGGGAAGGATGAAACCAACTCCCTGCAGCCTCCACTGAGTTGTCCCCCTGCCCCGTTCCTGGAACGCAGGGGATGCAGCCTACCAGCAGCCCGTGCTTTTCTGCCCGTGGGTGAATTGCCCTCTGCTCCAGGCACTCAACGTCACGCAGTTCCTCCGTGAACCAGCCTTGCTGTGCATGTTGCCCTGTGCAGCCCCTTCGCTCGTAGGCTGCCTGGGCAATGTGACGTTTGCATCAGCAGCGCACGGAGCTCAGACTTCCAGCTGCCTAATGCCAAGGAGCGGGCAGGCAGCATTCCCTCCTTGGTGCCTTCCTCCTCGCCAGGTTCCCGCATGGGGTCCGCCTCCTTCAGATCCCTCTGCCTGTGCCCAGGCACATCCCCAGCTGCCTGGGCCCCTTCCACCTTCCCCTGAGCGTGTCTTCGTTTGCGCGTTCCGTCGGCTGCCGTGTGCAGTGTGTGTGCTGCGAGGTGGTGCAGGGCCGGCTTTGCCTGTTTGTGAGGAGGCCTGGTTGCTGTCCCACAGCGGGAGGCTGCAGCTTTCTCTGCCGGAGTCCCCAGGTATTTGCCACACCCAGACAGCGGTTTTCACTGTCTTCAGTCCCCTGGTCATTTTGTCCTTCTGGGGCTCAGAAATGGGAATCGTGCTTCTTACTTGAGCACCCTTAAGCACCCTTTGCTCCCCTGGGCCCACCAGCTGAGCCGGTGTGCAGCTCCCCGCACAACCAAAGCACCTGAAAGGCTCAGGGCTGCCTGCCTTGGATGGGTGGAAACCCTTTTCAGAGGCCTGCCTCTCCCATCAATAACCAGGCCTTTTTGCAAAAATTCTGGGCCGTTGTGAGCGCAGCATTGTGTGGCCCGTATTCCCTCATTGCTCCACCTCGCCTGTGAGCGATCGAACAAGTCGCAGACTTTTGATCCACTGTTGGTTATTGTTACACGGATGCCCGGAATTCTGGCTTATCTGCCCTGCGGAAGGCCCGTGTGCTGCCATCTCTACAATAACCCTGAATTCCTTAAAGTTCTGGGTGGTGGAGGATGGGAACCTCCCAAGGCAGCGGTGCTTCACTTAGCTGTATTTATGTACTGCCTTTTTCCTTCAAGAATCCCAGGGTACCTAAGATGATATGAATTTCTGGAGGGGATATGAATATAATGGAAGAATATTATATATTATTAATTGTTATAGTATGTGAATGGTGGTAGTATTGGTCTCTGGGGTGGTGGGGGCATTCTATCATTTATTTATTTTTTCTTAATTATTGTGTTCCTGTTACGTTATATTATCATTGTTGTGAAGTATTGTATTTATGGTTTTCTTTTCTGCCTAAAAAAATAAAGGGGGGGGGTTAAAAAAAAGAATCCCGAAGTACCTGGTATAGTTGTGTGCTTTTTTATCCTCCCAGCGATCACCCTGCGAGGTTGGTTAGGCTGGGGCAGCAACTGGCCAGGAGTCAGCTAGGGAGCTCCGTGGCTGGGTGGGGACGGGAACCTGGATCCCCCCGCTCCAGCCCAGCACTCGTGCCATCGCACCTCCCTGCCGTGTGCGCGGCTGCTGCGGCTCACCTGAGGTTTGCAGGTTTGGGAGCAGCAGCAACCCCCTCCTCCTCTCACAGTCCACAGGAGAATGTATATGAAGTCCACACACCCGTGTAAATGCCGCTGTTCCCAGAATGACCAGGCTCTGCCCGCACTTGTTGCTGTTGTTGAAAGTTTCCAGCAGGAGCAGAACGAAGAGGCAGTAACCACTTGTCTTCCTTTTCCAGGTATGACAGCAAGTGCGGTAGCAGCGCTAGTCCTCATGATGTCCTCCATAGCATCTGTAATAGGATCCTTGTACCTGGCCTACATTCTGTACTTTGTGCTGAAGGAATTCTGCGTTGTCTGTGTCATCACTTACTTGCTGAACTTCATTCTCTTTATCATCAACTACAAACGACTGGTTTACTTGAACGAAGCCTGGAAACGGCAACTGCCACCCAAGCAGGATTAGCTCCCCTGCGGACTCTTGACCGACAGTCTGAAGACCCTGACTTCCATTTTAATTTTATCTCGCAGTAACAGAATTTCCTTTTTGATTCTTCATATCAGATGCCTTTCCTGCGAATCAAAAGAAAGGGGCCCTAGATAACTTCTCCGCTAATGAGTCCAATATGAGGAAGCGTTCAAGGAAGTCCCAGTCCAATCAAAGACAAGCTTTAACTCTACTGTGAAAGTTTCTCAGCTGCACATGCTTGACTCCTTCCCTCCCACAAATATGTCAAGGTGGTCACATTTGTTAGGAGATCATGTTCACTGGCCATGTTCAAGACTGTGTATCAGGTGGAAGTGTCGCCAAGTTTCCATTATGTGTATGGGGAGCCGAGGGGCCTAGTCGTGGCCGCAACCGGGACACAGCCCGCGGCATTGTACATAACGTTACGAGGGGGCTGTCCCAAAATGGGAGGCTGGTGGCGGCTGAGCCTGTTGCGTTTAGAGGCATGGCGATGTGAAGAATTGCTCGTCTCCTCCTTGGGAGATCGTTTTTTAAAAGTTCTGTTTTTGAAATGAGCCCTTCTCTCTGGGGAAGACAAAGGATGAAGCGCTGAGATTCCTTTTCTTTTGTGGAGGGCGGGTTGGCACCTCTGAGGAGAACGGAGGCTGCTGCGGGACGCGGCGTGTCTCGGGAAGGGCCACAGGGCTCCGGTGCCAGGGGCTCCTGGGCATGGCGGGCAAAGGCCTGAGGTGGGGACACTGGCCGGAGGCCCGGCCGGGGCAGCGGGGTGTGCGTGGAGGGACGGAGCCAGCCGTGCATGTCAAGCTGGAGTCGGGGCCGCGCAGCGCTCCTGGGCTGACTTCTCCTTCAAGCTGCTGTGTGGAATCGCAGCTTTACACTGGATCCTGCCGACTCGCAGGCAGACACACACTGGAGCAACAGGACGGGGGCCCCCGGCAAGCCCTCCCCACGCGGTTCCCCCCGAACTGGGGGGCAGGTGCCGAAGGGCCGTTGAGGGCCCTCTGACCGCTCCCCTTTGCTTCGGCGCGGTCAGTGGAGGACCCTGTTGCCAGAGGCTCTGCCCCTCGAGCGGCGCCTCCCCCCTGCCGCTCTCCATGTGTCCCGGGAGCAGCTCCGTTGTGCCAGGTGGGGCGCTTGGAGCTGCAGCCCAGTCAGTGGGGAGGCAGGGCGATTCAGGATCACTCCTGCAAGCATCAGGTGGCCGTGCGCTGAGGTGGGCAGGGAGGGCGTGAAAGGGAGTGAGGGGGCACCCGGGATGCGGTCACGGTGATCCTTGGAGCAGCCTCTTCATGCAAGAGGCAGGTGGCAGTGGCGGGACATGGCGTTCCCTTTGTCCCGTGTTGTCCTGAAAGGCAGTGTTCTTCTTTAAAAAGTGCCTTCTGTCCTACAAACCAAATATTGGGCGTGTTTGAAATTGGCAGGCAGAAGTGTTCACTCATGCGCATGCATATATATATATGACCAAACATGAAATAAACCTTTGCAGTATGTGGAAAGCGTCCCTCGCTCCAGCCCTTTGGGCTTCCCTCGTACCCAGTGCCACGGACGGGCGTCCCGGAGGAGGTGGGGTGCAGACCCCCGTCGCCCAGGCCGTGGCTGTGCTGATGGCCCGCCACTGCCAGGGACCCGGGGGAGTTCTCCGGCCCTCACGCCTGCCACCCGCCCTTTCTGCCGGAGCCGCTGCCTGCGCTCCCCTCCCTGCTCCCGAGGTGCCAGCGCCCAGCTGGCCTGACCCGGCGGCTTTGCTCGGTGAGGGTTGGCTTGCGGGGCCGGTTCTGGCCAGAGCCAGCGAGCAGGAGCCGCCTTGGCGCACGGCTGTGTTTCCTGCTCCGGTGCGGCTCTCGCTCGGCCGCCTTTGAGCAGCCACACGGTCGTCCGGGCTCGCCGCCTTCTGGCCGCAGTGGGGAAGCAAGGAGCCTTCGCGTCTTCGGCGCACCTGGTCCTGGCGGGGGCCTGAGCGAATGACTGGGGGAGGCTCGCTCGGGCGGCGGGGGCGGCAGCTCAGCAGCGGCTTGGCTGCGCAGAAACTTCCCCGAGCCGCCCTGCCTGCGCCCTCGGGAGCCCGGCCATCGTGGCAGCCTGCTGGGAGCACAGCGGCCACGTGGTTTGTTTCGTCCGAGCCTGGGCGCCCCGGCCAGGGGCTCTGGTGGTTGTAAGGAGCAGTGAAGTGTCATGGGTCAGCTCTGAATGTATGCACCCATCTTCCCCAACCCAGTGCCTTCCAGGGGTGTTGGATACTGCCCTCCCAGAATCCCTTGGCTTGCATTTAGTCTCTGTCAAAATACTTTGCTCTTTGATGAGTCTGCACAGAGTCTTTCCTTTTGGCCGTCTTCCTCCCTCCCTCTTTTAGAACATCAGCGATAAACCCGCATTAAGGAATTAGTGGAATCTTCCTGTGCTTTTGTAGAACTGCAGCCTGTTCTCCATGGAAGCCGCGTCCCTTCAACAGTATTTAAATGCCTGCCAAAGGAATGGGCCGGCTTCTCCTGCCACCCGTTGCAGGCGGGACTCGGGTGGAGCAGGAACCGTTGTGTGTGTGTGAGTGTGAGAGAGTGCGAGAGTGAGGACGTGAGCAAGCACACCCAGACACGTGCTGAAAACGGCTTGTCAAAAAGGCTTTTCGGCAACACGTCGAGTGTCGACCAGAGTACAGTTAAAGCTTGTCTTGACCTTTGAAATTTAGAGGTGGATCATCCAGAACAGCTTCTTCCAAGCCAGCTTCTTCCACCCTTGGCGTGTGCGGGATTATGGCTCTCATCATTGCCCCGTGGATGATGGGAATTGTAGCTGGACACATCCCTGGGGTCTGGCTCATGGGGCTGCTGGTGCTGATGCTCCGCAGCACGTGCTCCTTGGAATTGCCCCACACTACGTCTTTGCTTTATCCACTACATTCGACCCTTCAGGTAAACGGTTGGACTGAAGGGGTTATTTATTTCGTGTTTTGCATCTGTCTGAGGGCAAGGTGAGGCGTTGCTGCCATTGAACTCGAACCTCTGACTCAAGCGGAAGGGTGCAGCATCCGTATGATTGTGAACCGTGGGTTAAACCCTTGAATGTGGACTTGAGTTTGCTTTTCCCTCCTGTTCAAGAACAAAAAAGATTTGTCAAGTAAATATGGGTCACCTTGTATGCTTCTCTTGTGTGTGTGTCTCTCTCTGAGCGAAAGGCAAAATCCCCCACCCAGATTTGTTACATGTGTTTTCCGTAAATGGTCTAATAGCCAATAGTTATGGTGCCGGAGTGATATGTTTCAGGCTTTCCCAGCCCTGGAACTGTCCAGAGGAGTTGGGTTGGGGGATTCTAGGAGATGTATTCCCACAGCTCTGGGAGGCCCCAGAGTCAGCCTTTCTCTGGCTCCTTTTATTCTGCCCAGCCGCTGAACTGAAAATGGAGCCTTCCCCCTTCTTGGGCACAGTCCTTACCAAGCGCCAGACCCGGGTCCCGCCAAAACACTTGCATGGGTGTAAGGAGCAGGGCTGGCCTTTCTTGACCCGGGCAGTGCCATGCCACCCTGGAGAGGCACGAAAAGGCTCCCACCGCACTCCCTGTGTGTGTGGCTGGGAAATGCAAACCATGAGGACTAGCACCACGGAGAAGCAGATGATGATGCAGGGCATGATGGAACAGGAGCACTCCGCATGACAGATGGTGCCTGCCTTCCTCTTGCATGTGTGGGAACGCACCTCTTTCCAAGGCCAGGCTGTGCTGCAAGGTTGGGAGCTCCTGGATCTGTTAATAGCTGTGCAGTAGAAATCCGTTCCCCGTGGCCACGAAGGTTGCAGGAAGCCGCACGGCTTGGCTGCACCTCATGCCCATCTTGCCTCTAGCTTCGTGCCCATGAGAGGAAATGGGCCTCCCTCCACCAGGGACAAATGCTCAGGTTAATGCCAGCAGTCCGCCTGTCTCCTTCAGCTCCCCCCCCCAATCCAGTGGTTGCTGCAGGTTGCTCCCCTCAAGCCGGGGCTCTCCAGACCATGCTGCTGCACCTCACCAGGGGTCCGCTCTGCTCAGAGGGCAGGGCCCCCATCAGCACAGCCGAAGAAAAGCCCATCCACCAGGCAGGCCCTCGAGGGTGCTGGGAATGGGTGTGCCTTGTGCGTATTTTTGGGGGATGCGGGAAATGCCTCCTGCATTGCTGCTCCCAGGAAGGTTTCCATAGATCAATTTTCCAATGAGACAAATGTTTACCATTTTAGCAGGTTTTTTGTAGGGAGGTTAGAACGGGGGAAAAGGAGTGTTTCCACAAGGGTTATGGTTCCGGAAATACTGCAAGGGCACTGGTACCAGAGAGTTGAAAATCTTTAAAGTTATTTTGCTGCTCACTTTGGGACTCTGATCCCCAAAATGACCCCTCCCCCAAGCTCAGTTTTCTACTGTTTAGTGTCTCCTGAACTGCGTGGACAAAACTGAAGTCGAAACCAGATTAAGCTTTTGCTTGGGTTTCGTCAACACCTTTCAAACGTGACATAGCAAAGCTAGTCCGAAGAAGGTGAAGTATTCTGTTACCATGGAAAAAAACCAAAACCAAGAAACCACTGTATTAAGCATGGCCTAAATATTCCGTGTTTGTTCTGTCTCGTATGTTTGATCTGACAAACTTTTTGGGGTGCTTTGAACTCCAGACCGTCACCGGCTCCATCAGAGTCATTCCATTTTTGTGTTTGACATAACCACAGTGACATTCTGAGGTCTAGAATCCAATTTTGCTAACAGGGAAATTACAAAGAAACAACCAACCATGTAAATAATGTAAGAATGTTTATTTGTTGCACATAACTTTTTTGGTATAAAAATAAATGTAGAAATTACCTGTGGACAGCTTTGCTGAGTGTTTTGTCATCTACCGTGGTCCGCTTCTGTTCCCCCTGCCAACTTTGTTCTTGAGCGCTAAGCCGCAAGAAGAAAGTCAACATTGTGAACATTAGATCTCACAGTCCAATTACAAGCCATGAGTTCTTTTCCTGGGTTGTCCATGGTTAGTGATAGGGTTCTGCTACAGTGGCTGGATGCATGCATTACAAGAACCCAGAACTTGTACAACCCAAAGCAGGAATTAGTGCCGACCTCTCGCCAAACCTGTGTGTGGGAAGGGAAGGGAAGGGAAGGCTGAAGCACATGCCTCGTGCCCTTTTCCCTGTGTCTGCCTGTGCTCGTTTCCCTTGCACTGAGGGTGCCCATCAAAGTTAGATAATACATATAACTTACATAGAGAAAAGACTAAAACCTACTCAGGAATCTAATGACTGTGACAATTGTCTTAGCAAGTCTAATGTGATTTTGAAAAAGAAAATGGAAATGTGCTCATTGGAGTATGGAAAGCCGCTCTTCAAAATGAAGAAGGCCGCTCCGTCGACTCTGGAATGCGCCAGCTGCCCTGTAGCCCAGCGGCCAGTGGCGGCCAGCAGTCCAGGTCATGGCTTTGCTGGTGTCGATTTTCCAGCAGAAAGAAACACCGTTTGTTCTTGCTCCTGATCATGGAGAACGGCCCTGTTTTGTGGATCTGAGCCAATTCCGCAGCACCTTCCAGTTCGCCTGCGCTTAGGGCAGGCAGAGGTGGTCACGGTTGGCTCGCAGGAGCGTGCGGGACTCATTGGCAAGCCTCCAGTATCTCTCCTTCAGCAGAAAGGCGGCTGGCTTGGGCTGCCGCTGGCGAGTGAAAATCCCTTTCTTGTTGCCCAAGACACGTGTTGTCCCTGCAAACGGGGAAAGAAAGTTACAGAGCAGGGGAAGGACAAATGGCCACACGCGGACAGCAATTTGAGGCTACCTGCCAAATCCTGCTCTTTTCACTATTTTTTAAAGTTGAGTTTCTGGACCTCATGACCACATAGATGGCCTCAATGTTTCTGGGCTACTGTGTCGTGATAAGATCTGCAAACCCAGGAAAAGGATCTGTGATCTCAGCGTTAACCGTTTCAAGGGTGCAATCCTGTGCTGCCCGTGCAGAGGCTGACATGCATCCAGCGCGAGGTGTGCGGTGTGGCAGCGACCACCTTTTCCACCCTGCACTTCGACTGGGAGTTGGCATTTTGGGCTGCCTGGAGTGCCATGGAGGGGAGGCGGCCGGGGCATCTCCTGGGCTGCCTGCAGCTGTCAGCTCAGCCACCTCCCCGGTTGCCAGCAGTTGCCCCTTGCCTCCTCTCCAAGATAAATTCCCAATGCTGGGGGGCCTTGGAATCGGGACCCCAGGTGGTCCCACAGCCTCCTGGACAGGATGGGGCCCTAAGGGGGCTGCCACCCCAAAGCCAGAGGAGCCACTGAGGGCCCCTTTAGCCAGCAAGGTGGAAGCTTGTACACCAAGCTTTTCAAACCTGCCCCACCAAGTATTTTAGGAACTCTGTAAAGTGAGAACTGAACATTCTAGTCCTATCTCTGTAATATGCTTTTTCCTTCAGATTTTAAAGCCTATTTAAAGAACTGTAGGCCCCTCACCTAGGTTGGTTAAATGGGCATACAAAACCAGAATCCTTATGTGTCAGTCACCAAAGACACAAGTTTGCCATTGCGTGGGTGTGTCATATATCAAATCTCATCAAACATCCAGTACGAACTTTGGTCTCTGGTGTTTTGCCTTAAAGGCTGATTTTTAAAAGTCACACGTCACGAATTCCACCATCAAACACTGAGGAACGGCTTGGAAAAGAGCAGCCGGCCAGGGAAATCTCCGGCACTCGGATGGCAAGTTCACGGGATGCTGCGGACCCCGTCCAGAAGTCCAGCAAGTTTGCTCCCCACATGGCAGCAAAGGGAACAGTCCGGGCGAAGACGAGCAAAGACTGCTAGTGGAGCACTAAACAGAACCCTCCCCGGGGAACCAGGAGGGGCGCAACGCTCACGGCTGCTGTTGCAAGAGCTGGCAGGGTGCTGCGGCCGGCAGGGCGGGTTCCGCGTACCTTGCTCAGTCATAAAATCAGCAAAATTCCAGATGAGCTCTCCGATCACATACTCCTTCCTCTTTTGGTCCAAGACTGCATGGTACTCCTTCAGCACCGCGGACTGGTACTCCTCGGAGAACATGAGAGGGGGGTCCTGCGCACATGTGGGGGGAAAGGGGGTTCAAGGCGCGAGCCACCAAGAGCGCCGCGCGAACAGGCCCCCAGGTGAGCATGGGGCTGTGCCCAAGCCGGGCGCAGGGGGCCAGAGAGGGCGCAGGGGCTGCCAGACTCACGGCGTGCAGGCCAGCGACGGCGTCCGCGCCATACTCGCTCTGGATGATGGGCTTCCGGTGAAGACCGTACCAGTTCTCAAACTGTGTGTTGAGCTGCAGCTGAATCACCTCCAGGTGCCCCGGGTCATGGTACCAGGAGAAGTAGCTGTTCACGCAGATGACGTCCACGTAAGGCGCCTAGGCAGGAGTCGCGGGGCAGGATTATTCGTACTACTGTTTCATTTCTGTACTGCCCGTAGCCAAAGCTCTCTGGGCAGATATTATCTATTGTATTTATATCTCATTGTTTTCCTTTCAAGGCTCTCAAGGGGGCTTACGCCTGCTCCCGGTCTTATCCGCAGAACAAGAACCCTGTGAGGTGGGTTGGGCTGAGAGTTTGTGCCTGGCCCAAAGTCACCCCGTGGGCTCCTTGGCTGGGGGGCCTGGAACCAGATTGCCCGAACATGGTCCCACACGCTTCACCGTGACACGGCCCTGGCCGAGGTGTGTGCGCAAAGGGGGCAGGGAGGAGGGTACTTCTAGAGGGCGGTTCTAGGGTCCTGAGGACCCCCGGTGGGTCCCCTCCCTTGGCAAGGGCCCAGCCATGCCCACCCTCAATCCCACTGGAAGCAACCGGTGCAATGCTTTCTCTCCCATTTTCTGAAAGTACTGGGGAAAGGAGCAAAGTAGTAAGAATTTTTCTTGTGGGCAGAGAATACAAAACCGGGGAGCTTCTGCCACCCCTTCAGCTCAGCAAGGAAGCCCAAAAGAGGTGGGCTAATTCAAAAGCCCCTGGCAAGCGATCGCTTGGGAGCAGCGGCAAGAGGCTGACCCGTACCTCCAGCGCCCGCTGAGCAGGCAGGTGGCACCTGCAGTGCGGGAGGAGAGGGGAGGGGAGGGGAGGGGAGGCATACCCCCTGGTCCCGCGCGTAGTTGGCGTTCGAGACGAAGGTGACTGGCCGGGAGGCGTCCAAGGCCTTGGTGTGGGCGATCACCGTCCTGCGGGCACAGAATGCGCATCAGGCTGCTGCTGCCACGCCAAGCCGGCCCATGTGGCACAGAGGGCACTCCCAGGCTGGGCGCGAGGGGCCGTGGGGGACAGTGCTGCTGCACGCCAAGCGGCACCCCTTTTCCGCAGACACCTGGAGCGCCACCTCACTTGGTAAGCACCCATATTGCTTCGGTTCCAGGCATATATATATTCATACATACATGCATACATACATACATTCATTCATATACACACACACACACACACACACACACACACACACACACACACACACACACCAAGATATATATATATATATTATATATATATATTATATAGAGCGAGATATATAGAGTGAGCGAGAGAGAGAGAGATTATAGTCTTTTCAGCGTCAGGTGAAAACCTTTTTATTCAAACATTGTTTTAGAATTAGTGATTTTAGAAGCTAGCAGTCACTTTTTACAATTTACCTAGTTGTATTTTTTCTTAATATTTATTATTCCTATTTATTGTTTATATATCGATGTTTGCTGCTGTTTTTGTGTTGTAAGCCGTCCTGAGACATTGGCGTAAAGGACGGCATATAAATGTTTAAAAAAAACTCCCGGGGCCCCCCATGCCCCCCCCGATTCCGTGCCGCTCGCCCTTCACAGGCCCTGCTGGTGCGCCCCCCGGGGTCTCCCCGCCTCAGCCCATTCGCGCTGCTAACCTTGCATGCGCCTTCTGCTCCCCCTGCCAGACCCCGCGACCCTCCCAGCCCCCGGGGAGGGGGGCTCACGTGCTTCCACACTAACGCCTCGGCTCCACGCAGTCCTCCCCTCCGCATCTCTTGCGCCGGCGGTGCACAGCTGTGCCACCAGCCCCTCGGCCACAGCCCGCACAAACGATGCGCTCCCGGCTTTTCGCCGGCGTGCTCCCTGGCGCCCTCCAGAGACTGGCAACTCCCACACACACACACAGGGAACTGCAGTCCAAACCGTCGGAGGGCCGCGGGTGCCCATCCCTGCTCGCCCCGCTGAGTGCCTGCTGGCTGCGGAGACCTGCTCAGTGAACCTCGGGGGGCAGAGCCGGACTCCGGCTGCCAAGCCTGGCGCCTGCCACCCTGGCGCGGCCTTCCCGGCCCCGGGCCGGGCCCTTCCTGCCCACCACTCGCTGCCGGGCTGTTTGCTCGGGTCTGTGCAGCTTCCCCCCCCCCACTCTGAAGGTCCCAGTGCCTCCCCTCTGGATCGGACAATGGCCCCAGAGCTTTCGGCTGAAACAGCCTGGCTCTTCTGAGCTGGCCCCCTTCACCGGCGGCTCCCTCTGCCCCCTAGAGCCCCTCTCAAATGGAAGCGCGGCACCCCCGAGAGAGCACGCTCGCGGCATCCCTCCCCCGCCAGGCTCAGGAGGTTGCTGCGGGCCTCCCCCCGGGACAGCCCCCCCCACGCCTGCGCCGCAGATGCAGGGGCGCCTGTTCCGCTGTGGCGCAGGCGCCCAGGGCCGCACGCACTTGAAGTAGTAGGCGGTGGCGGGCAGCTCCGAGGCCGGCTCGTTGGCGACGGACCACATCACGACCGAGGGGTGGTTCTTGTCCCGCTGGATCAGCTCCTCCATCACGGCGAGGTGGTGCTGCAGGGACGCGTTCCCAAAGTTGGTGCTGAAACACGGAGGGATGTGAGGCGGCTTTGCCCTCCCCGCCCCCCCGAGAGGGCCCGTCTTCACGAGGGCTCCACCGGCGGGCTGCCAAGGTCCCATCCCGGCTGGCCGGCCCCTCTGAAACCGCTGCCCCAGGGACGGCCCCCGAGGCGGCCCCCCTCACCCCCGTGGCTGCGGCCGCCGCCCCCCACCCAGCCGCCATGCGGGGCCGGGCGCTCGGCGGCCACCCACCTGTCCCTCATGCCCACGGCCGGGCACTCGTCGATCACCACGATGCCGTAGGCGTCGCACAGCTCCAGGACCTCCTCGGCGTAGGGGTAGTGGCTGGTGCGGAAGGTGTTGGCGCCCAGCCAGCGCAGCAGGCTGAAATCCTTCAGGAGCAGCGGCCAGTCCAGGCCTTTGCCGCGGATCTGCAGAGAAGCCACGCGGTGAGCCTCCCTGCGTGCCGGCCCACGCGACGGCCCCCGGCCGCCCCCGGCAGCAGCCGAGAGCCGGCCTGGCCTGGCCTGGTCCCCGCGTGTGGAAGCTGATGCTCCAAACGGGCCGAGGGCGGTGCGCGAGGCAGGCTGGGCCGGCAGGCCAGCCCCACGTGCGCGAGGAAGCCTCCCCGAGGCAAATACAGGTGCGTGCGGGTGGGCCACCTCTCGGCGAACAGGTTTTCCCGCTCACAGGCGTCCCACATGCAGGGAGGGAGCAGGGCCCAGGCCCTTCTCTGGGTGCCGGGGGGGTGGCGCGCCTCTCCGTGGCTCTTTGGAGGAAGGCACAGTCCAACCCGCCCGGGGGACTCCGGGGAGCCGGGAGAGGTGGGCACTCTTCTCCCAGGGCGCCTCAAAGAAAGAGGCCAGGCGTAAAGGTGGGGAGCTCCGGCCCTTCGGATGCGAGTGTCGCTTGCCGCTGGAACATGGGTCATTTGCTGCCCGAGCACGGCTTGCTAGCAAGCCGTGGGGATCAGCCCGGCAACAAGCCAGGGACTCTCCGCAGGGGTTGCCCGTGGGTCACGGAATCGCAGAAGAGGAGAGGCCATTGGGTCCAGCCCCCGGTTCACAGACCGCCGTCTGTTCGTGTGGCTGGGTGCACCCGACATAGCCCGCCTTTCAGCGGCGACCGGATGTGGCGTCTTCCATGGGACAAAGCCAGCTGTGGATGCGCTCCACGCTGCCGCGCCGCCCGCTCGGCTTGCGCTAACCCTCAGGCTCCAGACGCGCGAGCCGCTCTGCAGTGCCACAGAGGCTCCGGCGCTTTGCCGCACCCCCGACAGGCGCCGGCAAGCCTCACTCACGTCCGCATCCTCGTGCTTGTTGACCCCGTGGAAGTAGAAGGGCTTCCCATTGAGGAGGAACTGGGTGTCGGTGACGCGGACGGTCCGGATGCCGACGGGCTGCGTGTAGCTGTCCTCGGAGAGGCGGCCGCCCTCTTTGGCGGAGAGCACGACCTGCGTGGCCGAGAGCACCGCGGCATCGACTCCTGGAGCGCAGGAGCAGGGCTGGGGATCTGCGCCCAGGCCCACCTGGACCCCCAAGCGGGCCCCACCCCGTCCCTTGGCTCCGCCCCCCAGCTTCCTTGCCCCCTGCTCGAACGTGGAGATGGCTGTGGCTTCGTGGCTGCAGGGCGGGCTCTGCCCTAGGACGGGCTGCCACTGGGGGCATTTTTGGCCTGGCCCGCCTTGCTCCGCCCTCGGCCAGAGGGCAGCCCCCAAGGGCATCTCTGGGCTTGAGCTTGGCCCTTGGGGAGAAAAGAAACCGCCTTTCTCGCCACTGGCCAGCCCCCGCTCTTGCAGGTGGGTTTGCGGCACGTCGGACAGGCACAGGAACAGCTACGGGGCCGGCCCTGTGCCGACGGGGAATCCCATCCAGCTGGGGCAGAGTGGCCCAGTGCAGCCTCTTCCGACAGTCCCGCGCTCTCTCCGAGGGAGGGCGGCAGCCGGCTTCTGGCTTTCCACCCAATACTGCCCCATACTTGCACACAAGCTTTACCTTTGCAGCCTTAAGGACTAGTAACTTGCTTGGCCTAAAAAATGGTCAGGCTGCTGAATTCTGTGCTTGGAAACTCCTGGATAACGAACCTTCCCCACCCGTGTGTCAGCTGAGGACTTTACGGGATAATGCTGAGAGCACGCTGTTTTCAGTTTATCAAAAGGCCTTTAAATTGCATTAGGAAAAGCGCAACAGGAAATGGGAGGCCAGTTCTTGTCCCCTGAAGGACCCATGGAAGGCCGCAATCCAGCCCTGCTCACTGAGGGCCCGTGCTCCTGACCTGGCCAGGATGCGGCCGCCGCGATGGTGGGCAGAAGGCCAGGCCTGGCGGGGATTCCGGACCATCGGCTTTTTGGAAAAGCAGCGCAAAAGCTCTCCAGGCCCGCCCAGCCCAGGACGCTCTCCTGGCCCTGCCTGGGGGGCCACTGCAGCCGCGGAGCCCACATGGGACCCACGTGTGGGCAAAGCAGGGGAAGGGCCGGGGGGGGGGCAAGGTGAGCGGGGGGTGCCCACCCGTGACTACATTCAGCTAGACCCAGCGGGGCGCCAATGCTCCCCCAGCCTGGTGGCCTCCAACTGTGCCAGCTAGGGAAGATGGGAGTGCCATCCAGCTTGCCTTGCGGGCACCGAGTTGTGGCGGGGCCGGGCCACAAGCCGGATGCTCTCCCCCCTCAGCGGGAAGGCCCTGGAGCCCGACCCCCCTTGTCCGCGGGGCCATGCGCGCTCACGCACACCGGGGCCAGGACTCTGGGTCACGACTGGTGGCGCACGGTGGGCGGCGTGGGCGCAAGACGTGGCAGCTCTGCCGGGGTGGAATCACCTCAGGGTACCTTTAAGGAGTACAGGTATCCGGGGCGCTCGTGCATCAGGTACGGCCACCACAGGATGGGATCCGGCACCCTCAGTTCCCCACTCGGCCCGTCTCCCGTGGCCACCACCACGCCGTCCCCATCGTGCAAAGTCAGCTTCAGGGAGTAGTGTGAGCTTCCCTGGACCGAGACCAAATACTGGACCAAGCCTGTCGCCGAGGAAGCAGCGCTTATAAGAACAAAGGAAGAGCCCCAACGGATCAGACCATCTGCCTCTGGTACTGGAGGGGGCCATGAGGACTAGTAGCCCCGATAGCTGCCACCTCCTTTACTTTGCCCGGTTGTTTTACAGCCATGCCAGTTGGGTGCATCTTGCACAAGGGAGCTCCCTCAGTCACGTCTGCAGCGTGGAGGAAAGTCCGTCCCTCGCTCTGGCTGAAATCTCTCCCCTGCCGGCTTTGCGGAAATGGCTCCCGTGTGTCGTGCCTGACGGAGGCATCTACTCGTGAGGAAGAGGCAGAAGCTAACAGTGAGAGTCGGGCGTTGGAACGAGGGGACTTATATTTAAGACCCAGTGCCCAGATGACCCCTCTGCAGCCTGGCTCTCAGACGACTGAGCCAGGAGCCTCTCGACAGCCTGACCCCGTAGCCTCTGAGAGCACCTTCCCTTTCTGCTCAGTCCAGGCAAGACTGCCAGGCGAGTGCTGCCTCTCTGCCGCTTGATAACCTTCTCAGTTTTAATTCCTGGGGTGCTATTGTGGCAGGCCACCTGCGGGGCTCCTGCCTGAAGGTGGCCAAGAGCCATCTCAAAGAAAGCGGAAGGAAATTGCTGCAGCCCCGGGCGCTTCGGGCCGCCCATCCCTGCATCGTGTCCAGCCCTGTGGCGGCTCCGTGCGCCAGAAGCTGCGCCCGGGGGAAGCAGGCCGAGGGACGCCAGCGGAGCCCGAAAGCCCCCCGTCGCTGCCGCTCGGTCGCCTACCTGTGTTTCCCAGCACGTCTGTGGTCACCGTGATGTCTTCGATGTATGCGGCCGGGGTTGTGTACAGCAGGACGGGGCGGTGGATCCCGGCATAGTTGAAGAAGTCAAACTTCGTGTTTTGGACAAAGTAGCCCTTGGGGTACCTGTGCCAAAGCAGAACGGAAAGGGGGGGGGGGCTTGGGCGGGCCTGGAAAGCCCCCGTGAAGGCACGCCCCAAAGAGCCCCAAGCCATACCCCCAGTGCGTCCCCTCATGCCACCCGCTTCTCACATTAAGGCTGCCTGCCCAACCTGTTGGGAAAAGTCCAGTTCCCTTCAGGGACCGCTGGCCAGACACCCTGGAAGCTGCCGTCCCGAATGCTGGAGAACACCGGGACAGCGAGGACCGTGCTCGAGCACCCTCCCCCAAAGCCCTCCGGGGCGTGACTGCGGCTCCCCTGCGAGAGCCGCGGCAGCATCCAGGCAACCGCATCAAAGACCGGGAGATCGCCTGGGTGGGAAGAGCGGGCCGCAGTCCACGCGGCCCTCCAGCGCTTCGCTGGAGCAGGCCTCCCGCAAGGAAGAGCGCACAGAGCAACTGCGCTCATGAGCGGAGCGTGGGCGCCTCCGAGCCGGGGATCGCTGCACCCTGGCTGGCCACGTGGTCTGAACCCGGCTGGCAACCATGAACGGCTCACGAGCAGAAGCCGGGGCTTTGCTGGGTCCTGGACTGGGGCTTGTTCGCCCTGCTGGGTTCGGACAACACGACAGCCCAAGGGCAGCCCACACTCAACCCATACTCAGCTCTCGTGATATTGTGCGGCTTGAGCCCTGCTGGCGAGTTTGCTTCCTTGGAGTCCCCTGAGCTACCGCCTCGCTTCTGAAGCCTCGAGGGGCCCCATGGGCATGTCTTTTCGGGCAGCCATTATCTCAAAAAACATTGTTTTCAGGTAAAATCTTCAGCTACTCGGTGGAAAACGCCCCTAACCCTGTGCATGGCTTGTCCCTCCAGACAGTGCATGGCTTGTCCCTCCAGACAGTCTGAAGCCAGAGGAGAGGATCTGGTCCTCAGCCAGCCGTCATATTCTGCCGAGGGGAACAAACCCGTAGCAGGGCATCGAGCTGGTGCGTCTTCGAGGATGATGCTGTAGCCTGTTTTTTAGGTTTCTTTTAATTAGGGGAGCAGCACGTTGTAGGGGTGGAGGACCCCCAGGTCCCCCTGGCTAAGATTCCAGAGCGACACACACTGCTCTGGGGGGCACTGGACAGAACAGCTCTTCCTATCCCACAGTGTCCAGACAAGATGCACCGCTGCCAAGGGCTCCTTCCCGCCAGGGGGGGGCTCAGCTGGGGGCAGCAAGGGGCAGGGCCTCCTCTGCACGAGCCCCCAACCTGCAGAACAATTTCGTCACTACAGCCCGGCTAGTGAAACTGTACTGTCTTTCCGGCACGAGGTTAAGGCTGCCCGAGGCATTTTTCAACAGCAGATACCGCACGGAGGGACGAGGTGTCGCCAACAGTTTTTAGCAGGCCTGGTAGTACAGGATGGGCTCAGTGGCTTCAGTTGTTAAAATCTGGCTTTAATTTTTTGAGCCCAAGTTATGAGTTTTTTAAATAGCTGTGTATGTCTTTACTGCATTTTATTGTATCGATTGACTATATGACACTGCTGGGAGCATGTCAGCTGTTCAGCGGGCTAATCGTAATCATAACGCATCACAGCCCTACAGGCATCGCTAGAGCACGGGGCCGATCCCCACGGGATCCACCCCAGACTCGAAACCTTGCGGCAAGTCCTGCCGCACAGAAGCAGAACCCCCTCGCGCTGCCGGAGCAAGCGCCATGCGAGCTCCAGACTGAAAGGCGGCACGAGAGCCTCCCGTCAGCTCCCCCTGTGGTGCCGCTTGGGGGCCTGAGGCCCACGGCTCACGGGCCGGCCCGCGGCCACAGCCACTCTGCACGCGCCTCCGGGGAAGCCTTTCACTCACATGGTCTCGTCCGTCAGGTACTGGATGGTCCCGGGGGGCAGCGTGGAGGGCGTCAGGGTGTTGTTGACTGCAATGGTGATGCGGCAGGGCTGGCCGGGGGCCCCGCGGAGGAGCCGGCCGATCTCAGCTTCGAAGGGGAGGTGTCCGCCCTCATGCTCCATCACCTGCACACCGTTGACCCACTGCAGTGGAGGAAACCAGAGTTTGGTGGGGGGGGGGTTGAATAAGTTTTATTCTTAATATATACCTAACAAAAAAAAAAAAAAAAAAAACCTAAAAAGCATCGATCATCGGAAACATCAGACCTACTGGGTCAGCCCCCCACATTTTTTCTTTTTATGTTAAACTATAAACATATTTAAGTCTATGCGTAGTCCCGTTTCTCTAGCCAATGATAAAAAGAGTCCCAGGTTTGATAGAAGTCTGTATCTTCTTTCTCCTTCAGACACAAGGTCAAGCTGTCCATTTCCGCACAGTCCAAGATCTTTTTTAGGATCAGTTCGTCGGCGGGTGGCTCTTCACTCTTCCATGTTGGGCAAATGCGATCCTCGCAAATGCGATGCAATGTAGAGTCAAATACATTGCTTGCTTACTAAGATCATCAGGTACAACACCTAATAGGAAAACTTCAGGTTTAAATGTTAGAGGTTTTTGTAACATTTCCTCAAGCCATTTGTGCATTTTAATCCAATACTGTTTTGCCTTCTCACAGGTCCACCACATAGGATAAAAAGTACCGATTTGTGTTTACATTTCCAACATCCATTTGCCGTATTTGGAAGCATCTTAGCTAACCTATTTGGTGACAGTTACCATCTATAAAGCATTTCATGCAGGTTTTCTGTAGGAAGCTGGAGTTTTGTGGGCACCCCTGGGGCCACGGCGCTCTGTGAGCTCGGGCAGCCGGCCGAGGCCCACGGCTCCGTGCCCCTTTCCCCCCACACCCACCCTGCTGTGAACCATCCTGAGTCTTTGACTAAACAGGAGCGGTATAAACAATAAACAGACGAACCCTATGGGGCAGGGTGGGTGGAGAATTCACGACCGGCCCAAGGCCATCCGGGGAGCTTTGGGGCCAGGGGACGTAGTGGTCTCAGTTGTTAAATGTGGCTTAAATTTTTCTTATAATTTTTGAACCGCCTCATCGTTTTTTGGACTACCTGCTGTGCACTGCCCGGAAAGCTGCGGCTAGCGGGCAGGGAACCGAACCACGACCCTAAGAGCAGCCTGCCACGGATACGCCGCGGGTTCATCTGTGGCGACGGCCACGGACGCAGAGGGCTTTCAAGGCGGGTCGGACACGTTCATGGAGGAGGGGAAGTTGGCCGAGGGCTGCAAGATGCCGTTGCTGTACACGGACCATATTAAATCTTCATTTAAAGGCTTTTC